ATTCTTATAACATTAATAAATGATATATACATAGATGTATTGCCTTGATTTAACAGATATAATTCACTTCATTAAAAAAAGTAACAAAACAACAAAATTCAGAAATAAAAAAAAGCTGACACCGATTTTGCTATATAGTTCCATATGGGTGTTGAAATAGTGCGACTAATTGCTATATAACATTTGTAATGGTTCTATTCTCTGATTCGAATGGATTCTCCACTAAAAAATTCTTAAGGTGGGTGAAGAACAGAATACTTGAATACTTCTTAAATAAAAGATAGAACACTATCTTAGGAAAGATAGGAAAGATAGAACACTATGACTCACATATCGGCTGATAAGTCCGCAGGATAAGCAATAACTAAAAATTTTTTAACAAAATTCGACTTTATTTAACAACGTAGCCATCGTAAAGGTAATGTTAGTAATCATTCCAGCATTTCTGCAACTTTTCGATATCACTCTTGTAGAATGATTGACCTTTAGCCCTAAAATATGCCTCAATTTTAGTAATGACATTTTCATCGGAGCCAACATTTTTTTCAGTTAGCAGTCAGTTTCAGTCAGTTTTTTTGAGGTCTGCGAATAGGTAATAAGCACTAAGAGTCAAATCTGGTGAATTCGGTACGTGCGGAAGCATTTCGAAGTGTGATTTGGCCATAATATCCAACGACGGGACATTGTCTTAGTACAAAAGAACTTCTTTCTACTACTTATCGGGTTGTAGCCAGCTGTCTGTTTCTTTTTTAGCCACTTTGAACGAGAATCGACTACTGCTGTCCACTCAGCTGCATGTTAAGTCGATTCTGGAGTGGTGGTTCCAATTTTCGACCATTATTAAACACCACCGCAAAAAGTCTTTTTTATATCGCTTTTAACAGATTTAAACAGCTCCTGAAATCATCAATACATCATTTTAGGTTACAATTTAAACTCATGCACTTGATCTGCTAGATAGATGTGTAGAATAATTAAGTCTGTAAGATATCATACAACATATATAGCCCATATATAGAATATTATAATTAATCTCATTTCAAGATTTTCTGCCATTTGGAAATTATTAACCATTTGAAATAGTAATAGTAGATATATATTATATCTCTATATATATACGAGTATATTAACTAAATGATTTAATTGGCACTAATTTTATATTAGCGCTTCTATCTAAAAACATTGGTTAGTACCCCCGCATATGATAAAAGTCTTATCAAATACGTAGTACAGATTATACTCGTAGAAATTTATCACTTCTAAGAAAATACGATAAAGTAGATTAAATTTATTTACCTTTTTAAACACGTACATAAGCTCAATTAATCCAAGCATGTTTAATAAACATCTCTATGTGTAATAATTCATTTTCTATTTTCATTGACATTTATTTTATTTGAATAAAATAATTTAAAAAAACTTCGTATAATGTTATATAGTAAAAAATTGTAGTCAGTCGATATCTTCAAACTGCTTACTTTTGTTGCTTGTCGGTGGAATTTCACATTTTTGTGAATAAGATCCACAACGGAAATTCTAAAAGCTTAGCGGAATGTTTAACACTTTAATCCAAATGGTTTAATCCCGAATGGAATTTGCAAATCAAACAAAAACAGAAGCTTAGCATTTTATTAGAAACCAAAGTATCTTTAAAAGTACACTGCAAAAAAGATCATATGCCACCAAAACATTTTGGATTTTTTCTTATTTTCATTTTGGCAAAAAGAAAACATTAATAACAATTGCAGAAGATATTAAAGATTTTTAAATCTATTAAACAGAGTCAGACTAGAACAGAGTCAAAAAAACTACAAAATGCTCTTTTTAAAATTTAACATAAACTCCTTGATTTTTTTACCTCCTAATAGGTCACAGAGGTCCAAAAATTCCTTTAAATTGCACTCTCTTCAATGCTAAAGTACATAAGCAGATACATTTGACTGCTAAATCAGTTTCTGTTGGTTTTTAATATAGGAACAGATGGAACAACTGCCCTGTGAAATCCATTTAAAAACTCGCTAACCAGTGCAAGAGCTCATTTTTTTGGAACCAAATCGATCAAATGTTATCAGTTCGGTTTCTATGTCTAATAAGTTGGTAATCCATTCGACTCATAATATTTTCACTGTTGTATTAGACACCCATTGATGAAGATTTGGATTCGAAACAAAATCAATTTAGTGCCTTTTCTTGTCATACATCTATTGTTAAGATTTAATTTTTAGATCTTTTCTATTAAATAGTAAAGACCTCTCTTTAAAAGAAGTACCGGATTAACATAGTCCACAGCATCCATTACGCTAGTGCTATATTAGCTACAATGTAGTTGGTGGAAATATAATTAAGTAATAGCTTAAACTCAATCTTTAAAATATTAGGAAGAGTCCACAAATTTTTATAGTGATGATTTCGTCAGTATCAGTTATATTAATCATTTCACTTCATAAAAGTAAAAAGTTTTCATAATTTTTATAACAAAAGAGTTGAATCATAGAATTCGCAGGTTTATCATCTTGTAATTCTCTATTTTTCTCAACAATTAGACTGTTGATCGTATTACTCAGTATTTTATCGAAAGTCTCAACTGTCCACATTAACATTTCTGTACTCCCGTATTAATATTGCTTTGATAGTAAGGTTTTTACAGCTTTTGTATGTTTTGTTAACTGTGATTCCTAAACACTTGTATTCTTGTTTTTAGTGCGACAGTTAGCAAGTTTTGCAAGATAGACTTGCAGTCCATACTCCGATAATGAAATACATATGCAAATGTATTGAAAATTGTAACCTTAATCCTTATTTCAGCAAACCATTGCTTTAGAACTCCGTAAATATATATCTTTTATTATTCTAATAAAACAATAAAGGCTTTCAATCCATACTATGATATCGGAATAGATATACAAATGTATTTCATTCCAGATTTCCATAAGTATATCACTTTTGTTGTTCCAACATTTAAAAATATTATACTTAGTTAATAACTAAAACTAAAAATAAAAATATAGCTTTTTTTTTACTTATATCTGTCTGAATTGTTATTTTAATATTGTTTAACTGAGTTTTTAATAAATCATACCATATATTTTATAGATTTTATTTTGCTTGCATATAGTTGAGTTCTGTTGGATTACTTGAAATTTGTGTATCACTAGTTATGACTAATGAAGTAGTGACCATCATTGTGATTGTTGTACTCCGTCATAGGTTGCCTATAATGTTAAGAGTAAAAACACTAGAATTCTCTGGTTAGTGAGTAGTTGATAGTGAAGAATGCATATGCATAAAATGATGGGTGTCCGATGGAAATAACCTAAACTCAGATACTAACGATGCGTGAAAACTCACATATATGAATTTTTAGAATTTTTTTTTTTAAAGATCTTAAAAATTTACGTTATCATAGCTACATTTACATTCGTAAAATACTTTTCCATATACAGATCTGGAAAAAAATTTTATGCTTCAGTTTCAGTTGTCTAAAATAAGTCTTAATATCTTAATTGATCGATCATTTCATTTCCACCTTATATGTAAAGAATAGTTCTAAATGATATTAAAGAACTGATATTTCACTGTTTCGTCGATCTGAAGAGTTCATTATTATCCATTTTCATAAGAAAACGAAGCTATTTTAAAGTTATATGTGAAGTTATATAAAGTTATCTGTCAGTCGCAATATGACAGTGTCCATATGGAACTAACTTTAGGTGACATCGAGTATATGTGATTTAAATTTATTCTTCGAACATTTCGTTAGCAATAGAATGTACTGATTTTTATATATAAACACAACAACAAAAAATAATAGTATTAAAATCCAACAATTAACCTATTATGCTATCGATGGATAAGATAGATATAGAAAGATCCTATAGATGGTTTATGAATTCGTTCTAATATATAATAGAAGAATATTTATGTTACTTCTTTACTCAATGAACTTTCACAGCAAATTCACAAAAGTCCTGCAGAATATAACCCGTAACACCACGAAGAGTTGAGAAGAAGTAATGATTCTCCGCAGTATACTATGGAAGAACGAATTTTGTATGAGGAGCATTAACGATTATTTATTGTATAATAGGTAAATACAATATTGATGACGATAAAATTAATATATGCTTAAGCACATAAGCCTAAATTTCTGCAGTGCGTAACTCTACAAATCAAAGCTAACTTACTTAGACGAAAGTGTGTCCAAATATACCTCTTTATTTTTATTACGTATATTTAAATAGATAAACGTTATATCTTTATCTAAGCAGAGTTAAAGAATAACATATCAAATATTATGGATTTGAAAACTACTTGAAGCAATTTGTGGTTATTTCGCTAAGTGTATCGAGTGATGGGGATTCCCTTTACGTGAACAGCTTTCTGTTAAAAAATGTCATTGTCTTTAACAACTTTGAGCATTAAAAAATGCATAATCAGTAGAAACAAAACAGTAGACAAAAACTAGAGATATTTCCGATTCGTACCGCTGGAATACCATATCTGCAAAATAATCAAACCTTTCAGTGCATCGGAGTGTTAATGTAGCAAAATCTTTTGCGGAAATGAAAAAAATCTAAATTCAATAGATAAATCTATAAATTAATATATATTTATAAATAAATTTTCAAAAATAAATATTTCCAATCTAAATTGAACTTAAAAGAAACTCAAAAGAAAAGTATTGATAAGATAAATATACGATTGAGGAATAGGTATATCTTTAATTAGAAGTAAAAAAGTGAAAAGAAGAATATCTAATGTGTTAAAAAGTTTATCTCTATTTAGAATATAAACATAATAGAATATTCAGCATATTTATTTATTTTTTCGATTTGGAATTAGCAAAGTTTTATTTTGAAACATAAATCAAAGTGTTCCACTGAAATGTTTGGCAAAGATATTTGTCTATTAATCTGTGCCGCAGACAGTGAACTTGAATATTCTTCGCATTCTTAAAGACATCAGATTTCTAATTTTATTTTATCTTCGAATGTCTTTAGGTATCACAGATGACGTTGTTGGTGAAAATGCGATGGCAACGGCGAGTGCTAGTTTAGCTATTAAATACATAATACGTAAAAAAAATAGTGGACAAAAAATGCCTATGGCATCAGACTGTATTGTTCCAAAGAGCATTGAACACTGATTACAAACGAAATTCATATACTTTTAGTTTTCTACAAACATCTCGTAAAGATGCACGAACTATTCACGAAAGTGCTATCAAAACGTGATCTATCGCGCGCCGGTGACTTATTTTCAGTGCCTGACTCGGAGATTGTGAATGATATTACAGAAGTGGTAAGTATAAGTACAACTTATATTTAAATATTAATATCGTTATACATAAATCGTTAGTAAAAAAATCTATTTTGTATATTGACTTGTAAATAATACAAAGGAACTATTAAGGCCACAGTACTGTGCTCCACTGAAAACCTAAGCCTAATTTAATATGTATTACCTAATCCATATGCTTTTGCTTTGCCAATCAAAAGGTTAAAAACTTATACCGCTACTTTTTATATTCCATTTATTATTTCTCCTGTATTTTCTTAGTAAAATAGCTTCATAGGATATTTCATCAATTTTATAATAATAATTATTTCTCTTCATATCTTACTTACTCACCCAAATGGTGAAGAAATGGTCTTTCCCTTATATCTTCTTTCTACTAATACCATTTTGAACATCTTCTGTTCCCTCAATTACCGATTTAAACACTATTTCGTCGAAGGATCGTTATCCATTCTTCCGATATAACAAAGCCAGCGAAGCTACTGATGTAAAGGAGTTGGACAATGTCGTTTTAAAATTCATGTAGTTCGTAATTCCATTTAAATACGATAAAATTCATCAACACCTAGAGAGCTTATTTATCTCGTTAGTTGGTTCATCGTTCTCTGATATCGTTGCGCCAAGAAAAGTATCCAGAGTTGCCCAGGAAGTGTAAATTCTGTCCATGGAAAGAGAGCTCTAAATCGCAATTACCCACTAAATCTACATATTGACAATAATAACACCATATTTCATCTCCAGACTGATATCGATATTATTTTAATGGCTCTATTAATAAATACATATCGATAGCTTCAAAAGTACAGTGACCAGTAACTAGCTGGTTATTCAAGCGACATACATGTCTACCAGGGGCTAACATATATTATATACTTAACATATACTTTCTTTTGTCTTCATATACCGCTTATACTATTTTCTTAGAATCGTTTTCGATTTCTACAACAATGTCATTATACTTGCTACACCCAATGAAATCGGACTCAATAGGATAAACAATAAGTTTCACATACATTTAGAATATAATGTTATTCCGTTGAAGACTTCGCATCATCAGTTCCATAACAAAATGGAAGGGATAACATAATATGACTTCAATCCACATAGAAGATCATCTTGTCATACCATCTTGATGGAATTATATCTCTTCATATAGAGACCAAGTTTGATGGTCTATACACGGTCTTCAATAGATCAGTAAAGAAATAGCATTTTTGAAATGTTTTGCTTTTATGTTTTGTCATTTATCTTCTGGGATTATTTTATGCTTTCGAAAAATAGATTATATCCTTGAACAAAATAATGCATTGGTTAAAATGTTTCTATTTATGCGGCCAATTGCAGATGAATACTCCAGTATGATGTCGTAATATAACAAAATAATTTGGTACTATTAACATAATTTTTTTCGTTATTATAACTAGATCAAACAGTCATATAATAACTAATCCCATTACTATGTATACTAAGCAAATTTTGAATATAAAATTACGACTATTTTATGTCTTTTATTGTGAAGCACTATAGAAATTCTTTAAGATTACATAGTAAAATATGCATACATAGATTGACGACCCATGCGATTGAATTTTAAATCGACTGTAAGACAACGCTGCACCTATATCGACTATAACTTTTGTATCTGTAAGTAATCAATTGTGATATTGTGAGCGTGACCATCTGAAATGTTTTCTGCATCCAAAATTCCATAAAACTTTATTTCGCGATTTACTCATAAAAGGCCACGAATTTATTTAATCGTATTAGGAATTGTTATTCCATTTAAGCACCCCAAATAGACAGTACATTTGGTACATAAACCATTGCAGTTCAATTCGATTTAATGGTGCAGAGTCATTATGATGATAATCAGGCTGCAAAGTAAGCAGTTCAATCGTGCTATTTTCTAAGCTTTTTTGATTAGGTTAATTTTACTTATCTAGATTGCAAGAAATCACTTCAAGCGGTTTATTCCAGTAAGGTGTTTTGAGTAAATTCATTTTGCTTATCATACTATAAAATAACCCGGCTATTTATACTACCCCCTAAACCGTTTCGAAGATATCTACTATATATTTTTAGTTTTTGTTTTTTTTTTTCAAAATATTACCAATCTTCACATTTTATTTTTAATTGTCCAACTTTCTTGAAAATATATAAGAAAATCTTATCCTGTGCTAAGCATTTTTTTCAATTAGTAGACAACTAAAAATGTATGTATTATTAATATTAAATTTACAATCATTTTACAGCTTTTCGATATTAGTCCTATCATCTCCCATCCAGATTATTTAAAAAACAACAATGATCAATCAGTCGTGGAAATCTGTGTTACGCGAGTACTTTCCTGCATACGTGAGACAAAAACTGCGGAACGCTACTGTTCTGCATTGGTGGATTTATTGAAAACTTGCTTACTTTGGAATCTCCAGCCAACTGCGTCCAGTAAAGAGGACCCGCCACATGCTAAAATTGCCGCCGATATTATTTCTAGTATATTTTTGGTAAGAATAAGTTAATATAATTCCCCCAATATATTTAGTTTGCTGTTATTATATTCCATATTCCATAATTATTTTCTTCTTATAGAATTATGATAAGAAGGAGCTTATGAAAATTGCTCTACCAGTGGCTGTGCAATTTTTACCTAAAGGTAATAAGGAGCTGTCTAGAAATTTAGCTAGTTATCTATCACTAGCGGCCATCGATTATGCTTACCTGCTTAGCCCACACGTGACATCTATAATAGATTCCATTATGACTGGTTAGTAAAATGTGAGCTCTGCCAACAAATTACAAAAATTATATTAAAATTTTACTAGGAAATTATGGACTATTAAGAGTTCTCTCACAAATCTACGAAGTCTCACCTGAAGAAGTTACTCCACATGCACCTCCGCTTATAACTTTATTACCACAATGTGATTCACAAGAGAAATTAGCTGTTTTCCAACTTTATCTCTTAATAGCGCAAAAGACACCTTCAGTGAGTACCTCAGTATTTTCAAATAATCCACAAAATAAATAATGATTTAAAATAGGTACTTGAACCCTGTGTGCCCATATTATGCGAGTCGTTATACGATGCTGAGACTGTAACAATTACAATGCAAATACTTTTAAAGGTTGCCGAACATCGTCCCCATCTGATGGTTGAACATTTTGATAAAATTAAATTAGCAAGTAAAACACAGCCAAATTCGATTTCATTGGCGGCACAAATTCTAACAGCAGCCGGGCGCACAAGTAAAGTAAGTACTTGACCTTTCCTATTAATCTATAAATATCACAACTAACGGCAATGAATTTTCAGGACAATGCACAATTTGCTTTAGATTTTGTGCTTGAGCACTTACCACATGCGGATCGCACATCACAAACAGTTTTATTGCAAGAAGCGACAAAATTATGTTCATCATTTCCAATCTTATTTACTGATAAAGTACTGGCATGTGTCCGACAGAAGAATGCTCTAAGGTGAGTTATATCTCTTATATAGTAGTAGATCACACAACAAATAATTTTAAACTTCTTTATTTATAAAAGCCAACAAAAGCTCTCTTCATCGGACTTGAGTATGGATACAGTAAACAAGACTTCTGGTGGCGTGACAATAGTTAATTTAAACAGTCCCACAGACTCAACTCCTCCACCTGCACCATCAACAGCGGCCGCAGTAGTGGCAACTGTATTAAATACCGCCGCTGCAACTGCTGCAATCACAAACAGCTTTCAGCATACTTCCATCATAACTGCAGATCCAGTGACAAGTGCGACCACAGTTTCTGTTGCATCAGCTATTGCAACTACAAGTCGAATGCACAAAAACAAGAATAAAAGTCGCAGTAGTCCAAGCAGTCCAAAAGATACCAGTCGTAAACTAATCACCAGCGGCAATATTAAAATTCGTACGTTGATCTTGATCTTCAGATATTTAATGAGTTCAGATAAAACTTATAATGAACTTAAATTTGTCCACAGCTTCTAGCCATAATAACACAACCACAGTTTCCAACAATACAACAACAGTTATTCATCAAAACGGTGCTACCGTACCACCGACACCACCTCACGCTGGCTACACAAGACGCGTGAAACTTGGTGACTCACGCAGCACTGGCCGATTGCATCCAAGTGGAAATATGCATCGAAGCATGACACGTTTAAATGTAGCCGGTGGTTCTTCAGTCGGTGGTCTACACAAAAGCATGACACGTTTAAGCTCATCTCAGCACATAAACCAAAATGGTTCTAGCTCCAACTCTAATGCAAATAATTCTCATTCCAGCGGGAATGTTGTAGTTCAAACTGGTGCTACGCCAAAAACACCTACAAGTCCAAATAGTCCGGGTTACGTGACACCTGTACCGCCATTAAGCAATAATGTCATCATAACTGGTCACAACAAATGGGGCATCCCATCCACGCAGGTGACCTCCGGTGGTGTGACAGTAACAACATCGCCAACAAAAGTACGACCACACTCACAGGGTCCCACAACGCTGCTCAATTCGAGTACAGCACTGCTAAAGTACAGTACAGATGCACTGAATCAATCTATAGGTTCTATATCGATACCACAGAATATGGTCTCAGTGCATCACGCATCGCCAGCTTTGTTACAACAAAACAATGGAAATCAAAAATCCGTAATGAAACTACCAGTGAACGGAAATGTACGCATAATAAGAAGTTCATGTTGGAATTAGTATATAATTATAGCGTTAATTTTGTTTTCAATTTATAGAGCACTCATGAAGTCATAGTATCTGGTCCAACTACAAATGTAACGCCACGCCGCAACGATAACACCAGTCGCACGCTGCTGAACGCTAACAACAGTATACTGGATCAGCGCATGAGCACTTTTGAGCCATATCAGATAATGCGTGATCCCGTACAGCAATTTTGCGATAAAAATTTCAGTTCCATTAAGAAGTACATGGATGAAGTTTCTCAGTTTCTCCCACCTCCAACCCGTTGTAGTATTGAAGGTTTGTAGAATGAGTCGATTTTACTGCATGCATATTAAATGTTTATTTTTTTCTTTCTCTTTTCTTCTCATTTGTGTTCTTTTTTTTTGTTTTTCCGATTTTGGTGATTATTGGTAACTTTTCGATCATGCCTAATATTTTTAATCTGTTTTTTTTTTTCGTTTAAACAATTTCTATTAACCACTGACTTTGTGTTCAAACTACCTGTCTTTGTCCGTTTGTCTGTCGGTCTGTTTAAATTTCTCTCAATTCAAAAATTCATCCAAAAGTTTCCAATGAATTTGCAGAGCGACGCACCAAAAAAGTTGCCAAATTACATTTTGCCTGTCAAATTCGTGGTCCACATTGTCTCTACTCCAAAACGTGCTTCACAATGCGGACACGTAATCCAAAAACATGGATACATTTAATGTTTCTAGATTTTCAAGTTCGGCACTATGTAAGTATATCGGAATATTAGAGGTGATTATATTGGTATTAATTTTTTTTTTTGTTTGTATTTCTTAGGTTAAGGAAAAATGTGTACTGAGCACTCGGGAACCCGGCATAAGTAATTTAAAAAATATTTGGCAAATACTCAAATGCGAAAATCGCAGCTTTACGGAACTGGCTACAAGCCAATTCCCAAATGCAAAGGTAATATTGTTAATATTTGTAAAGAAAATTTATTTAATTAAAAAAATTAAAATTTTATGATATATACTGTTACATATAATAATATTAAAAAAAAGTTTGTATGTTTGTAATATAACCTGGATTGTTCTACTGTTCTTATGGAAGCCTGATCAACTCAACATCGGTGGCTGTAAACGTCACTTGGTTGTAAATAGCAATTGATTATGTGACATATGTCAATACTAACCTATACCTGCTTCTGAAATCCCTTGATCCTTTTGGAGATCAAGGTTGTCCTGGAACAACTTTCTGAACCGACCTCCCCCTAACATTTCTCAAGAAGAACGACAACTTCCCCATGCATCAAAAACTATTATAGCTTCATTAAGATTGCAATACAACCATGTGCTAAACAATGACTTGTCACACATAAACACGTCTATTCCTATTGTATGCTCAAACTGCAGCTCTACCCCAATTACATCGCCCATCTATTCTCTTGGTGCACTGCACTCTAAAACCTCAGTCCAATCGACCTTTGGGCGCACCCCATTCAAGTTTCCGTCTTGACCTTGACCCAGATTAATTTTTATTTGAACTCCACTTTTTATCTTTACTTAACCACCATCTATCCGAACCCATGTATTCGTTGGTTGATTCTTTTCATGTTATCTGCTTTCCAGATCCCTGTGGACTACCACTACAACAACATTGGTTATGGAACATATACTCGATCACTCGTTCAGTTTTAATTCAATATAGTTTCTTCACATTGTTTAAAAATATTTAAACCAAACAATGTTTTATATATATTTATCTATTATTAATAAAAATACTTATCAACAGACATCTATGTCGAATAGAAAAATAGTGAGAAAGTTTTAATTGAAAAAATTTATTTTTAATTAAGTAAACTTTATTGACGAACCACATAGTTATTTCGGAAATTACCATCACCAGTGGTTCAATTCATTGATTTATTAGTATGTTAACTATATAATTTTTAAACTGCGAGTTCCAGGTATAGAACCTTTTCCAATTTAAATCATAATTTCTCATTGTAACAATTAAGCAAACGTTGCACTTATATTGAACTGCTTAAATTTAAAGTTTTGTTAATATATTGTTATATCTTTAAAAAAAGATGCAGATATTATAATCAGAAAAAACACATAACCCCGCCTAAATATTATGTACTTAAATATTAATTGTTCTCTTTCTTTACACGCTATTATTTCTAGGAATATTTTTAATATTTAATAAGCATCGTTTCGATATTTATTATTTTTACTTAAAGATATTCGTTAATTCATTGCTTATTATTATTGTTATTAAATTATTATATTTCTGACAGATTTGAATAGGATTAAAAAACTTTTCTTGTATATTTATAAACAAGTATTATTTTTAATGTGATTTAATAACAGGATCGTGAAATACTCGTAAATGAATTACGTCACTCTGGTTTTTTGGATGTCTTTGAAGTCTCTAAAACAGATAAATCGAATCCAAATTGTAACGAGTTGGACTACCAATGGGGTTGTTTCTTATGCAATCATCCAGACAAAGCAGTTGGATTTCTTAACGGTAGCAACCAACCAATGATTGAAGGTCAACTAAAAGAGAAAAAAGGAAAATGGCGATTATTCCGTCGTTGGCGGACAAGATATTTTACATTATCTGGTGCACATTTATCCTGCAAAGGATCGGTATGTCTTATCTCAATAGTAAATACTTAATATGGTTAATTAATTTTTTTTTCTGATTTAGAGCGGTGGTGAAAGTATAGATGTAAATCAAATACGCTCCGTTAAAGTTTCACGTGGTGCACGTAACATACCCAAAGCATTTGAAATATTCACTGCCGATCAAACATTAATACTCAAACCTAAGGATGGTAAAAATGCCGAAGAATGGGTTCAATGCCTCAGTATCGTGGTAGCTCACTCACAGGCTCGAGACAATCCTATCAACACCAAAACAAATAGTTTGCCAGCACGTGGAATGGGTAGCAGTAAACCCTCATTTTGAGATTTATAAATATTATATAATATTAGTTTATATATACAATATATATATATATCTACATAAAGGACTTTGTTTACTTCAATGACAAAAGACATTTATCAACAAATATGCTTATACTACTTAGTTTATTGTTACTTAAATATTATTAATTATTAAGAAGTATAAATACTAAGAATACTATTTCAAAGAATTTTAAAAATTTGAAGAAATTGTTAATTATATACACAGATTGATTTTTATATACACAGAAATATGCAATAAATTTATTTTCAATAGATTTTTAGAATTAATTAAGTTGTAACATACAATTAAAATTTTGTACTTAATTTGTTATTTCTATTATTTACTTTTAATTATACATACATATTTATTATCAATAAATTTATATGAATACTTTTTTATACAAATAAAATATATTTTAAAATTTATTCAAAATTTTTTTTACTCCTATAATATTTAAAGATATATATAAACACATTCGTATATATTATATATAAATATAAAAGTATCAGTTCTATTCTATATAATATATATGTTATATATCTTCATCAAAAACTGTTTAAAAAGTGTAATAGTAGCACAATATACATATATTATGTTGTCATTATTATAAAATTTTAAATTTTCGAACCATCTTTGCAGAAATTGATCCATGGGGTAACTTCAATATACATTTATAGTAAACATTGTTAGTCATAGCCAAGTAGTATTAGTAGTAAATTTTTAAATCGTGTTTTACAATCTCAACGACAAAACACATGTTTAGTGTAGAAAAATAAACTCTAGATAAATTCATACAAATCATTTTAGGCTCTAGATTAGTTAGATTATGTCAGCGATCCTAAGGATCCACATTGCTTTACCGTATAAAAATTTAATAACTATAAAAACCACATTAAACCTTTGTTTAAAAAACGAATGCTCTAACATTAGAAATAAAATATTTTCAACTGATTAACGTAAGTGATACCTACTAAATTTTAAAGAAAAAAAAACATTTATATATTCAGTAAAAACACAATATTTTATTTATGCGATAACAATCTTATTCAAAAATATATAATTTAATAAAAAATTCAAAGTCTTTTTACTTCGTTGGAGGTGTGTATAAATTTATCTATACCTTACTCAACTCATATATGTATCTCATTAAGTAAAAGAAACGTAAGTACAACAGATTAGTTGATTTGAAATAATATTTATATACTATATCAGCTCATGAATAGAGCTGATAGCCACAAAATTCGTAATTAAGTTTATAACCTAAACTTTGTACTTTGTTTTGTGTATAGTGGTAACTGTAGATTAAGAAATATTTTCAATATTAATTTGCTAATTAATGAAATAACAGAACAGTCATAAATATTACGCCATAAGTAAGTCATAAGGCTTAAAATAATAATTATTTTTAAGTAGTTTTATGTTTAACATAAAATCATTATGATATTAAGTCAGTTTTGGTAAAAAAAATTAATTGTTTCAAAAACAATTAAATAAAAAATTAATCAAATTAAAATATAGTTCAATATATCAAAACTAATATATATACATTTTTAGTTGAAGTATAAATAAATATACATATACATATATATATACAGAGAGCTAAAACGTAAAAAGGATTATGTTAATTATATTATATCACAACCGAACTCGTTGAAAAGTTCATAAATAACACGTAAAATTAGTATTTTCTTTGAAAATATGAAAGTATTTTTACTACATAGTATCATATTTTAAGCAAATTGGTTAAAGCTTTGTTTAAGTTTTATTTAATTATACTAAGCAATTAATTGCTTTATCAGCAATATTTTGACTTAACAAATAATATCGCTACAACAGCACCGAGAATGAACACAGTCGCAGGTACCAAATTTTCTAAAGCAACATTTTTATTAATTTTGGATTCCTTTTTTGGTTCTGATTTCGTCCAACCCAAGCTACGTTTAACTGCTTTCTTCCATTTATCATAACGCAGTTTACGTTCTTTATTATCTCCAATTGGAGAGAATTTATCAAACTCCATCACATCAAATGTTGAATTCTCCAAACTACATAGTTCAATACCCTTCGCTTGACCAGCACACAACGCAGCACCAAAAGCCGTAGTATCTTGAAGTTGGGAGCGGTATACCGTTAAACCAGTAGTATCCGCCTGCAATTGCATTAGCAAATTATTAGATGCAAGTGATCCATCTACTTGTAACTTTTGCAAATCAATCCTAACTTCTGCTTGCATATATTCCAGTACATCGCGTGTCTGAAAACAAATTGACTCGAGCGCAGCACGTATGATATGGTGTTTGGTTGTGAATTGTGTGAGTCCACAAATAATACCACGCGCATCTTTACGCCAATATGGAGCATATAAACCAGTAAACGCAGGCACAAAATAAACATCACCAGTGGTAGGTACAGCCGAGGCAAAATTTTCTGAATCGGCACCTACATGCATTATTCGTACTTTGGTTTGCAACCACTCTAGAGCGCGACCGCCCACAGCTACAGCACCTTCTAAGGCGTAGTGTACTGGGGCATCTTTGCCTAACTTATATGCAACAGTAGTAAGTAAACCAGTCGATGATACAACCTTTTTCTCGCCAGTATTGTACAGCAAAAAACAACCAGAGCGATAGGTGCTTTTAACTCGACCAGGTACCAAACACAACTGGCCTACTAAAGAAGCTTGTTGATTACCTATTAAACCACTTATAAGTATGCCCTTGAGTATGGAGCGTTCATCTGAAATTTCGCCATAAATCTCTGAACTGCTACGTATTTCAGGCAGTGTTTCAGAGCATACATTGAATGTGTTAAGTAGTGTTTCATCCCAATTAAGTGTATCAATGTTCATAAGCAGTGTACGGGAAGCATTAGTAACATCAGTTATATGTAACGCACCTGAAATATAAGTAAATTTTAATTTATAATTTTTTTAAAAATGATTTAATGACTTTCCATCAACTAACCTTTTGTGAGATTCCACACAATCCAACTATCTATGGTGCCAAATTTACAACGTTTTTGTTTGATTGCTTCCTTAACAGCTGACACATTTTCCATCAGCCACATTATCTTCAATGCAGAAAAATACGTTGATACTGGTAAACCGGCTATATCCATAAAATGGGATTTATTTCTATTTGGCAGTTTGTTAAGTACACGATCAACTAAAGACGATGTTCGTATATCGTTCCAGACAAGTGCATTATAGAGCGGTTTCCCAGTCAAACTATCCCACGCAACAATTGTTTCACGTTGATTTGTTATGCCAATGGTGGCAATATCTTTAATGCTATAACCCAATTTAGACAATTGTGCACAACCACTTGCACAAGCTTTATGCACCACTGTTATAATTGCATTAGGATCTTGCTCAAACCATCCTTCCTGTGGTGTTATCATTTGTAAATCCATGCTAGCCGTAACAATCTCCTTTAAGTCAGGTATCGAATAAACACAAAAACTCACTGTGTTAGTGCCTTCATCTATAACACCCACTAATGATTTTTTTACCGGACTAGCGGTGGACTCTTGTGGAGGGAAGGATACTTCTTCAAACTCCACCATATTAGACATATTAAAGACTCTTGATATTCAGTATTAACCAAACTTAAGCAGATTTCTTTAGTTTGTAATGCTTTTGTGCTGACTTCAAATTTATTTGCAGATCTAAAATTAAAATAAAAATAAAAATTAAATGAAAAATTATTTATAATATAAATATAAACAAAAATAACATTTTATATATATATTTATAGGCAAGTCTGTACAAATAATAACAGATAATAAATGGCACATTAACAAAGACGAGCCCCCGAGTGCTACGGTATGTGCTAGATATATTTGTAAAAGTATGTTGCTGACAAAGACAAAACGAGCAGTTTTGGTCTACAGCAACAGCAACAGCAACGACATTGAGAGTGCAAATACAGGGTGTTGCTTACTTTGAACTGTGCTAATTTACATAAAAATAAAACTTTATATACAATGTTTAACACACATTAATTCATATATATAGAGTTAAATAAATAAAAATATTTAAAAATACCATTTAAGTGCCCGAATTTCAAAAATGAGCTATAAAACAGACAACATTTAAACAAGTGCTATGACGTCAAATCGTAAAATATATTTTAAAAGACACCAAGCCACACTTTATCACTTTTAAAAGGTTTAAAAATTGTCTAGCAGTATAAATAGGTCAAAAGAACTTTGACTTTGGCTTTGGCGCTGATATGAATGGCGTTTGAGTTGGTATAATAACATCGTATACTGTTGTTAACAACAACAACAACAAATAATGTGTAAAGTACGACATTATCTACAAAAATTGTGGACATATTAGGTACATAGGTTTTCTTTAATAATTTACAATGATAATAAATTATTCTAATCTACTGAGATAGACGGACGCATATGTTTATTGAAAAATGTTTAATAAATTAACGATTGCCTATATAACCTATATGTAAGGTACATAGATTTAAGTATATATTAAAGTTATTAATAATTTCAACTTCAAATAAAATAAATAAAACTTGTTAAAAACTAAATTGATATAATAATTAAAAATTTGTAAAATTATGCTACTCTTTTTTTTTTTGCTAATTTTTTTAAATTATATTTAATGAAATCAATATCGAAAAAAATAAAATTAAATATAAATTTACTTCTTATGATTTGAACACTTATTTTCATTAATTATTTCGCATATATGCAAAAATATATATTCTAACAACAACAATACGACCAAATAAAATCGTATATATTCACTTCCCTACGAATTTGACATTTACTCATATTCACACTTGAGCACTCACGCACTCACATATTCCAAAATAATGAAAACAAATAGCAGCAACAATGAAATGAAATGAAAAAAAAAAAAAATAAAAACAAAAATTTTTTTCTTCACAAAATCCCTTATTAAACCAGATATAACTGGTATAACAATTTCTTTCCACAAATTTCCACACAATGTCTCCTAGCGTTTGGTACAGAAAGAACTATACCTTGTTTATATATAATAGACGTTTGAAGGTCAATTTTGGAGATAAACGTAAACACGATATATTACAAAAAAAGAGAGTTATTTTGTTAATCTTCACAATTCAGTGTGCAAAGATTAGACTCTGTTTTTAAGTTCCGAAATGCCACTAGTTAAGTTTATCTAATCTATCTTAAATAGCTCGAAATTAATAACAATTGTTATTATTAGAATAAACAATACTACATTGCAATTTATGAGATCTATTGTGTTCCTAGACACAATACCTATAATCTATATTCTCTAGACAATATATTATACTTTACATGATGTGAAATAAATCCTTTCTGTTCATTGCTATCCAGGATTTCCCGAGTTTAATGAGAAACAATCTACACCAAGCAAATCCAAAACTCCTTATTTTACGGTTTAGCACTCTTGCACAAAACGGATATGTGAACTCCACAAAGTCTGTACGTAAATGGCAAGTTCCATTAATTCCACGTTTGTAAAATGTGGTTTTTAACATGTTCAGTTCAACGCCAGTAAATAATCATAATTTAAATCTTTTTACACTAAAAAAAATTTGCCCATAAGTTGTGGAGTTGCATATTTAATCATTAAGAATTTTCTATTACTAGAACTGTTATTAACATATATACTAGCACATATATATATATATATATGTTAAAATGTTTTTGATTACTATAAGCAGACAGTGTAAATTCATTTTACTACAATCTAAAGTTGCTAAAATTGTTGCAAGACCTGATATAATTACCATAAACATATATTTCTTTTTTATAAAATCACATTTAAAATTATAATTGCTAATAGATTCTAGAGAATTAAAAACTTGACAATATAAATAACAGTTTGAAAGTTTTATAAAAACACTATTATTATAAAGTTACTAAGTAAATAATTTTAATGTTAATTAATTTAGTTTTTATATTAAAAGGTTTAAACCTTAAAAATATATATGCATAAAAAATTATATTGATTTAAAAAGGCTGGACAGTAAATTAATATCTACAAATTTACTTTAACACCTAAACCACCATTTATAATTAATAGATGCCAATGGTAAAAGACGGGTTTACTAACGCTTTAAGACTTAGGCAGGTTGTGATATCAGAGAAGTTTTGAGACATGCCTTCTAAACTAAAAAAAATTTTAAATAAAAATACCTTTTTTGAACTGTCAAAACACTGCACCGTATTTAGTACGCATATTGAGAATATTAAATAGATATTTAGAGAAGTTGGAATCTAAATTAAATAGACACCTTCTAATGAGCCGTACAGCTCTTAACCGGATAACCCATAACTACAACAATAGTCTGTATCCGATCGGTAAGACTATCTATTAGACCATGTTTCATTGGTGCAATTGTATTAGAGAGCGTAAATCAATCAAGATTAATCAGTTGCATTATTTTTATATATTTGTCACATCATACATGCAGTTTGTTTAAAGTACTTTATTACCATAATTAATATGTCTTCCATACAGAACACTAACTTAAAAGATTATAACCTCTTAACTAAGACTAAAAAATTAAATATTCATGACAAATATTTTACAGATAGATAGCAATTACTTCTGCTGCTATAACTTATATAGTTCTATTATAATATATACGACACAACTAAGGGGAGCGGTTATAATATATACAGCTTTAATAAAGCATTTAAATAACAAGTAAAGAGTACACACGTAATAGTTTACATAGTTTATAGTTTACAAACAAACGATGTTTTAGAATTCTAATTTAAAAAAGAGACTGTAAAACACTTAAGTGGATAATATTTATTAAAACAGACGATAGTAGAGGCAGGTCTCTGATGTAACAAATGATATATTGTAAATCAATGTAGCGCGTGATATTTTTTGTAATATTTTTTGTACGTATTAAAAGCTAGATATTAGAAAACGCAATATTTTCACAGTTCTTATTAACTTTAAGTATATAATTAATGGAATTTAACAAATACATTCTAAAAGCTATTAAATCATTTAGTTAAATAATTCTAGTGTTTTTTTTTCACTATATTACATCGAAAGTTCACAAATAAAAATATATTTTAGTATTAAAGTTTTCTGAGAAATAATTTTTTCTAAATCAATATTTTATTTAATTTTTTCCAAATTTTATTAAACACATTCATCATCACAATTTTATTTTAAACAAAATTATTATTAGCATCTGTTTTGCTTAATATTTGCTTAAGCTGTATATATTTATTATTATATTTTATTTATATAATATTATTATATTTACTTAGTTGTGAATAGTTATATTTTTTAATTATTTAATCCATAAGGTAAATGAATATTAAAAAAATATGTATAAATTATTTTCTCGTTTCTTTTTTTTTTATTGAAAAATAATTTTGGCAAATTAGACTAATTATTAGTTTAAAAAAAATTATCACAAATATTTCTGCATTAATTAATATTTTTTATCAACTCACATTAATTATGGAATTTAAAATGAATTTTTAAATTTAAAACCGAACGCGATAAATTGAAATTTTTGCTTTAAAAACACATCCGCTCACATAAACTGACAAAATGTATCTGAGCGTCGTTAAATAAATGCTAAACGCAAGCAGTGGGAATAAGCAGAAATGATCAAACCGATCAGAGAAAAACTTTTTATAACAAATACATAAAGAAATAAAATTTCTACTGATAAGTTTATTAGCGACAACGAATTCCAATGTCGTCAAATCGATTTGTACAGAATCGAAATAGTCACTGATAACGGCAGTACTACTCATGCAACAAACAACAACAAGTAATTAAAGTTATTGTAGTTACTGTAGTTAGTATCTGAGAGATACTAAAATAGTCTGCACTTAAAATATTGTATACAATACTCATAAAATATGTCTTACAGTGGGTAAGTGGGTTGATATTAGGAAATTTATACAGAAAAGGCAGATAAGGACACAAACTATCGAGATTAGATTCCATAGACATATTGACCACTTGTTTAAAATGTTTAAAAAAAATTAATAAATATTTTTTCAAAGCAATTAAAGTGTTTTTTCTATGACATCTATAGCAACATTTTAAGCACTTTTCTAACCCAATACATTATTAAATACTCTTGTTAAGACTAGATCTATTTTTTTTATTTTTTTTTTAAAACTTACTATTTAAATAATAATTAATGTGTTTAATACAACTCTAATACTCATAACTTAAATATCAAAGACAAAACATAATATTTTGCCATTAATTTAAATATGTATCAACCAACAAAAATGAAAATAAATCAGAAAATCAAAAAAAAAGTGCTTCACTACAGCGCAATCATATATATATGTACTAAACATAAGCTTATGGAAAAAAGAATAAAGTACATGGGTGATCTCTTAATGGAACTGCCTCATTTATTGTCCCGAAAAAATATATAATTGTGCCGGTTTTAGAAAATGTTTTAATAAATTTTAAAATATAAAATATAAGAAATGTATTATTCATCTGAAAGAAAGTTCCACGTTGTTGGAAGCGATTCATAATATATGTTTAAAATCTGAGTCTGACTTTTTTAATATGTTCCCTTATATCCCGTGACTCATTATTAGCTATTTTTAAAAAGAGTGTGGAAGCAAAAACAGAACTTTGGTTAAATATAAGAAGATGAGAACTCCGATTAAATATTATCAAT